GTAACTTACACAAATTTCCTTGAAAATACACATACATACACAAAATAGTAAAAATCACGTATTCTTGAGGAATGGAACCAAGAGGATATACCTTATAGAGAGAAAGAGACAATAGAAAGCAATTTACTGTAAGAGATTGGCTCACGTGATAATGGAGGCTAAGAAGTCCCAGAACCTGCGATCTGCAGGCCAGCGGTATACTGCCAGTGCAAACCCAATAGCCCAAGAACCAGGCAAGTGGAGCCAGTGTCCCAGTCTGAGTCTAGAACTGGGGTTGGGGTGTTGAGCAGGCAATGGTATAAGTCCTGCTCTGAGTCAGAGGATCAGGAGCACAGGTGTCTCAAATATGTATTCTTACAGAAAAATTTTAGACCATAGATATTTTTAAGTAACAGGTTTTATTTGAGAAATGAGATCATAGCACACCTCCTAAGCTGTACCTCTCCTTTTTCATTCAATAATACGCCTTAGGCTTCCCTCTTGGTCAGTATAGTCATATCATTTAACTTGTGCTTTTTTTTTTTTTTAACTAGCCACAGAACATTCCAGAGTACGGATGAACATTAGCTCTCATGGCAGGTTTAGAAGCAGGATTGAGGAACAGGACACAACCAGCCCTCGCCGACTGCCCATTGGAGGAGGGACCCAGGAGAATGTGGCAACAGGTGAAGGAGTCTGTGGCCCTGGGCAGTGTGAGGAGGTCAAGAATCCCTTTTAAACATGAGAGGAATGAGGCTGAGGCAGGAGATAAAATGAGCAACCATGGAAGTTATGAATAGACCAGGCAGGAAAATGACATGTATCTAGAAGCAAAACAACATTCAGTACAATTTTTGAATGTTTGCCATATACAGGGAACTAGAATAACTACTTTACTAAGTACTTTTAAAAATTGTCACTTAAAAACAATCTTGTGAGAGAGATATTATTATTTCCATTACACCTATGAGATCAAGGATTAGGAAATTCAAGCACACTAGCAGAGATGAGAAGGCTAGCGAACATCAGGGCCACCTGTCTGACTTGAGTAGTCAAGCCTCACTTACCACTGCAGCTCACGGTCTGGGGTACACACTAGGTAAGAGAGGCTGTGATGACTCGTATGTAGGGCCCTGGCGTGACCACATGACTCAGGACAAGCGGTTTACCCAAGATGACCAATATTTTCCGTAGCATAGGAGGTAGGGAAGGTGTCAATGGCAAGGTGGGAAAAATGACTCAATGCCCTGCTCTTTTCCTGAATTTAGATGTTTTCTCATTTCTTTCCTTCTAAAGCCAGCTGATGAATATCCCCAAATCACGTGGCTTGAAATCCTTTAAGCTTACAGTCTCCTGGTGCCTTCCTTATGTTTTCTAACCAGCTTTCTCAGACTTTGTCAAAAAATCATCACTGGCTGTCTCTACTCACTACTTTCCCTCCTCCATCCTCCTCCATGTCCGAGTCAGCCTCACTGGCTCACCACCCAAACTGAGCTTCTTCTCATTCCATCGTGAGCTCCCGGAGAGCAGAAATGTGATTTCCTATATTTGCACATGCCGTGCCTCATGTTGCTCTGCCTGGCACAGCCACTGGCACCAGAACAGGAGCTCAAACACGTTTATTGAATGGAGGATGAGACATTTGACCACAATTAAGAGAGAAGAGAAGACAGGTGTGTAAGATTCACTTTCTTGGTTTCCGTGGGAATGACATGAATTTTTTGTCGTTCTGTGAGAAAGACAAAATAATGTGAGTGGACACGATGTTAAGATGATTCACCAAGAAAGTAGCTAGAAGGTGTGTGGCTCACTTTACAAAGGGAAAGAAAAGGAATTGAATTTGCCTATTTCCAAATGTTTTACTCAATTTTCCCTGTCAATCATTCAGCTATAAAGTAAGAGTCCAACCATCTCTTCTTTACATATACATACACACACAAATATATCATCATATATATATACACATATCATAATTTTCTGAAATGTGTAATATCTATATGAATATCTATATAGTGTATACACGTGTAAGAAGCTTAGTCATCTGTGCCTAAAAATCCAGCTATCATTGGGATATACACTTATAGGCATTGACATATCATGCTTTTATTTTATGAAACACTTCATCATAAATTAGTTCCTTCCATTCTGAGGAAAGATTTGAAGAACAAAAAGTTCTCACAATAGAGATGTTGGTGAGTCACTCCCACTTCAGTGACTCATGTCATTTTGGTTTTATAACCAGTTAGTAATATGATAATAGTAATTCTTGTATTCCATGTGCCTCTACAGACCTCTAAAGATCACATAGGCAGTGTGCAGCAGCAGATAGAGGTCTTAGAATTTTAGTTCCAGCTCCACTGCTTCTGAAGTGTGTGGACTGGGGTAAACGTTAAGCTTTCATCTCTCTCTGTATAAAGTATCTACCTTAGACAGCCACTTTGAGGATTAAAGGAGGTAAGCAAACGAAAAAGTTAACTCATATTATGTTCTCAAAAATGTTCAGAGTATTTTTATCCTCCTGCTTCTTCTCCCAATGGCAATAAAAGTGTCAGGCAATAGGCACAACAGACATGAGCATTCACTTAAGTTAAAGCATGCATTTGTATATTTTAGCCTATTTTTATCGATTAGCAAAGGGAGCTAAGATTACTTGCCTGCCTAGATGGTAAGTGTTTAAGGCAAGACTTGAGTTCATGGGTGTTTTTTTTTTTTTTTTTTTTTTTTGGTCGAAAGTGTTGTGTTCCATCTCCTGTAACTTTCAGCCTTCCCTTGGGGGGAGAGGCAAGGGAAGGATCAATGTGAAAGGCGTGGAATTGAATATTTTGAACATTCACTTCTCACCATCTTTCTAGGGAAGATCAAGTTATGTAGGTGACAAAAGTGAGGCACAGAAAAGTCAATTAAACTTGCCCAAGGTAATAGCAAAGCCAGAAACCAGGACTGGGCAAAACTGGAAAACCAGGATTTTATATTCCAGGGGTCTCTGTGGTCTGTTGTAATTATTGTGATTTGTTTGACGGGCTATGGCTTGTGTGCTGTAGCGATTTGCAACAATAAAAGGATGATATATTGAAGGCCTATTTGTGCCAGTTTCCACATATTTCAGTTCAGCCAACGTCTATCCAGTCTAATCTGCAAAGGCTACATTTAAATATTTCTTCCATCCTCAATGTTTCCCTTACACATCTTGCTAATAAGTGAAAATCTACCATTAAACATTAAATCTTTGGATTAAGGGTTTGCTTCTGGTTAAAATGCAGAGTGTTTTTTCCCCAATCAGTATCAGCATCAGTCTTCCCCTATATCAGTAATAATGTATCTTAAAGTGAATTAGCTTGCCAGGCCCTTGTCTCCTACATTTTTATAACCACGAGGAGGAATGGCAAACAGCAGCAAAAAATGAAGACTGTGAATACATTGTGTAGGCTGACCTCACGGGATACTGACTTGATTGTCTGCTCCACTTGGCCCATTTCGTTCTGTTCAGAAAAGGCGGTAGTGTATGTATGTAGTAGAACATCATGCAGTTATTAAAATCATATTTTTGAAGAAAATTTAGTAAAATGGGAAAACACCCCCAATAAATTATTAACTAAAAATAATATGGCTGGGCATTGTGGCATGCATCTGTAATCCCAGCTACTTGAGAGTGTGAGGCAGGAGATCACTTGATTCCATGAGTTCAAGACCAACCTGGGCAATGTAATGAGACCCCATCTCAAATAATAATAATAATAATAGAAATAAAAGTTATACTTACTACATGATCTTAATTTTTTTAATATGGATATGTGTGTGAGAGAGACAGACAGAGACACACACACACACACACACACACACACGCACACGAGACAGTATTTTGGTCAAGTCAGAGACGAGATGATGTGAGCCCAGCAGCTTCCAGCATGAAACCTACCACGCTGGAGAGGTCACCTGTGAGCTCAGGGTGAAACAGTCTCTCACACCTGCCATAAAATCTTCCAGGAGCTGTTGCTGCTGCTGCTGTGTCTCCTTCCACTTCCCAGTGAAATAAAAATAAAAATAAAAGGGCCCTAAGAACATCTAACTCCTAGCCATATCCTAGAGGTAAACTCAACATTTCTTATTGTGGCTTACAGAAATGTTTTATTGTTATGCAAGTATGTATCTCACCTCTATCATTTCTTTTCCATATATGGATATACTCTTCTGCACCAGTTTACTTTCTACTTCATGTGCTTTAAATGACTTTCCATATGAGTATTTATTATAGTTTACCAAAACGTATATAGTGCTTTCTATGTGCTAGGCCCTTGTTTAAGCACCTTGCAAAACTCACATCATTTTATCTTCATAGCAGCTCATGAGTAGGTCCTCTTCTTGTGCCCATTTCATAGACAAGCAAAGTGAAACCTACTGATATTATGGTTCTTGCTATAGGTAACCCCAGCTATAAATGGTGGGGCAGAGTTTCAAACCCAGGTATCATTCCAGAGGCTGCACTGAGCCTTCAGAATCTACTCATTAAGCTGAGCTGCTGGTTTGCATACATAGTATATATAAATCTTGGTGGATAAATAGATGTCATCGATCTTAACAGCTGAGTGATATTCCCTTGTATGAATGGCCACAATCTATCAATCTAATCTCCTACTTACAAAACAGATTGTTTTCAATTTTTTTATAATTACAAAAATTATTACTATAGATCTTATTGCATCTATCTGTCTCTGTAAATTTGCAGGATAGACTCAGGATAAAGGCTTAGTAGTGGAGTTGCAAAATAAAAACCACATAAACATTTGATAAATAATGCCAAGTTATTTCACAAAAGTTTGCACCAATTTTTCTCTTATTAGCAGCCTATAAAAGTGCTTATTTCTTTCACACCCAAAAGCTTTTTGCTTGCCAACTTATCAACAGGGGAGGGAAGAAGCTGAGATTAGTCTCTCATTGTTTCTAATTTTATTTTTAAAATGAAGAGTGAGATTGGGCATACATTTATATGTTTTATATATTTATATGTTTATATATATAAGTCACTCTCAGATGTTTACCCTGCCGGCTAACGCCTTCTCTGCACACCGCTCCCGGAGCACGGGGCCCGCAGGGCTGGCTGGCCCTGGCTCTGGCCTCGCTCCCGGCTGGGCCGCCTTTCGTGCTTGTCCTGGCTGCTCCGCTTCCGTGGCGGGGAGTAACTGACGGAGCCTCGGGCACGGAAGCTGTGCTTGTAAGGATGGCTTCTGTGTTTCTTCGGGTTTTCTTCTTTCTGGGCCTGGCTCTTTGCTGGTTCCTTATCGCCCTCTTTTTGTTCATGGTCTTGCTCTTTATGAGAGGGCAATGTGTTTTTAATTGTGTTAATTAGAAATCTTTTATTGGTACCAGCAAGAGGACACTTCATCCAACCCGCGGGTCCCATTGTTTCAGCTCTAGTTTTTCCACGTTTTGCCTCCTTAAGCAGTTCTTCTATGGCTTTCCTCTCCGGTTCCTGGTCCTCTTCCATCGTGGAGGCGGTTTCTGGATCCTCAGGTGGTGCTAGCGTATCGGGGGCTCTGCCCCATAGCCCGAGGCGTGGAGGCGAAGCAGGAAGGAAGGACAGACCGACGGAATTATAATTTATAATTTATAAATTTATAAGACCAATTATATTTTGTCTTCTAAGAATGGCCTTTGATGCTTTTAATCTTTTGCCAATTTCTCCAGTAAGTTAAAAAATTGATTACCAAGTGCTTTTCGTTTTTTAGGGATATTAGCTTTTGTCTATCATATGTCATGCGTATCCATTTTCCCAGTTGGAGGAAGTCTGCATCAGCCAAGTGAACATTGTCAGGTAGTATTTTCAGAAATGACAATTCATGTAAGCATTTCTCTCCTCCGTCCCTCCCTCTCACATTCCTTCCCTCCCTCTCACATTCCTTCCCTCCCTCCCTCCCTCCCTCCCTCCCTCCCTTCCTTCCTTCCTTCCTTCCTTCCTTCCTTCCTTCCTTCCTTCCTTCCTTCCTTCTTTTCTTCCTTCCTTCCTTCCTTCCTTTTCTTTCCTTCTTGTGATGAAGTCTCTGTCACCCAGGCTGGTGCAATCACAGGTCACTACAACCCTGAACTCCTGGGCTCAATCTATCCTCCTGTCTCAGCCTCCTGAATAGCTAGGATTATGGGTGCGTGCCACCATGCCCATGTGGCCATTTATTGAAAGTTCTCTCAGTGAAAAGCAAGGTAATAATAAACACCAGTTAAGACAATTTCATGGGCCAATAAAACAACATGGCCCCAATACCTAGCTTTTGGATGATCACACATGATTAGAATTAGAATATATAGTGAAATGGAGACATTGTTTTCCTTCAGAGAAACCAACTTAATTAACATTTTGCAAACCTTTCACAGTAATGTTTGCATCTTTCTACTCTTATTGAGATATTGACTTAAACCATACATTTTACATATGGATAGATTATCTTGAGAACAAAGATCATATTTTCTAATTTCTTTTCTATACTCACATGTGATATATTTGGAAATTTAAATTGCACTAACTGGTTTGATCCAGTGCCACAAACATATTCCTTTTCATCTTTAGCTGTCAATACATGAATTTCAAATGCAATTTATTTTTATATTTAGTTTGGACAAAATTAGTTAGATACTTCAAATTATAAAAGGCTTTATGAGAAAACATTAAAGTTAAGATCCTTTTATTGCATGGAATTCAGAAACACTTTATGTCAAAAATTGGGGTTGAAATGCTCCTTTAACTTATGTCTTCCATTCACTTTGCATATTTGGAAAACACTTCATTTTGATGAGGTGCTATCTTCTTCAGAATGTTTGATGTTAAAATCCAGTTATTGCTCTGATTTCCCTGCATTGTATGTTTTAAATCTGAAACTTAAAATGTATCCTAAGCTTACTTAGGTATGATGAAAAGGTAATTAAAGATACACAAAATCATTCCCCTTTAATATTAGTGCTAAATAGGCAATAATAATAAATTTCAACTACTTCAGTAACGTGTCTCAAAAATGAGCATTTAAATATATATATTTTTAAATCTATTCTTCCCTAACAAAGTGTGGTCTGGAAGGATTGATTTTTCAGATTTCTTTATCTTGTTTGTTTAAATTCAGGAAAGCCTGCAACTTCCTAAAATATCACAAATTTGGGATATTGACAGATTTATCTTTTATCTCTGGTATAATTATATAGATCTCTTTTGCGTCTACTTTAATGCTTGCCACTCTTTCATCAACTCAAATAAAGGAGTCTTTTTATCCCTTGTATTGTTTTAACATATTTCCTCTTAACATGAAATACTATTTCATTGTCAAATTATCATAAGCTGTGCAGGGCCATATCTACATTTATGCTGATATCTTATTTAATTTTACTTTTGTCACATGGGAACTGAAGTAATTTAAGAGGTAATATTAAATTTTTGATACTAATAATTTTTTTACATTAATAAAAATTCTTTTTATACTAAAGCCTTGCTTGTTATTCCAACTGCCCTCTGGAAACAGCTGAAGGACCTTCTTAGGGTGAATCATGTTGTACTGAGGATTTTCTGCTTTTTTGATAATTACCCTCCCTTGGCAGACCAAGACAGAGCCACACAATGCCAAATTTCAACACTGTCGTTGATTGTGTAGTCAAAATTTTTATTTAACAGAATGACTGATGTGATTCAAAATAATTTTTAAAAAGGAAATGTACAAATTTTAGGATCTCATAAAATTTGAAGCATATTTTGAAAGCCAGTTGAATATAATCATAACAATATTAGCAACTCCGTCAGTGTTTTTCTGAAAGCAGGTCTGAAACAAGAAGATAACGATAAAATTAAGGGTTTTCTAAGTACAAAAAAGTTATTTAGAAAATTAAGCAGATTTCACCACGAGAATAAAACAAATCATTACTGCCAGTGAAGTTACTGAGCTAAATAGTGCTCAAATAGATTCAAGGAAAGCATTAATCCCACGGTTTCCTAGATTAGATGAATTGAAGGATCCCATATAATACATTGCTATTGCACTTACAATGAGTGTTATACTATTGGCAGCTAACATTTAGTGGGTACTTAATGTATGTCAGGCAAAAACTGTATTACTGAGTTCTCACATGAACTCTCAGAGGTAGTTGCTATTACTATTCATGTTTTGCAGATGAGAGGACTGATACACACAGAGAGGTTAAGCAAATCTCCCAAAGTTATGTGATTATTAAGTGGTAAGTAGTGCGATTTGAACCTATAATCAGGCTACAGAGTCAAATATCTTAACCACCATATCAACTCAACTGGGTCATATCTATATTTTAATAGTGGCATTTGCTTATCATCAACATAAGTGATTACATGACAAATGAAGTAACTGCAGATCAGAAAATTTAAAGAAATGATCTCAAGTCATTCAGTTACTAGGAAAGCCAAGAATGGATCCTGGTTTCCCTGTCCAATGTGCCCCTTCAAACTGCTGTCTCCCAGCTATATAATATGTTAAGAAAACCAGAGCACTACACACTGGGGTCAGTTGGGGGGAAAAAGGGGAGGGACAGTGGGGGGTGGGGAGCTGGGGAGAGATAGCAAGGGGAGAAATGCCAGATGTAGGTGATGGGGAGGAAGGCAGCAAATCACACTGCCACGTGTGTACCTATGTAACAATTTTGCATGTTCTTCACATGTACCCCAAAACCTAAAATGCAATAAAATAAATAAATGGGGGGAAAAAAAAAGAAAACCAGAAAGTAAATTTGACAATAGAATCTGTGGCAAAATGGCCACAGAATAACGAAACACGACCAATGTGATTTAATCATTTCAATTTACATTTCTTGTCTAGGTGCCCCCGCCTACTCCCACTTGAAGTTTTCTATTCATCATGACATTTTAAGAAGCCTTAATAAATTGATCTGACTGAATTTCTTAGACACATATAAACCTGCCAGTGTCCTGAGTTATGGCCATGGAGATGACACGGTTTTAGCTCATTTGAAAATTATGTTGTTAAAAGCGTGTTATTGTTTGGATTGTAGATTAAGAAGGTAGGAGCCCTCTGAGCTATTCATCTGACATCTTTTATTAATTTTAAATTAACCTAGAAATTAAACTGCATTACTTTTATGAGGATGAAAAATTGGTTTGATAATTATCTGAAGAGTCACTAGCCTGCATTTTATTCTCAGGTCATGTCTTGAGTGGCTTATATAACCTTTAGAAAGTCAGTAAATCTCTCCAGTGATCCACGGAGACGAAGGAAGAGCAGTGTGGTTCAGTGCCCACCTGAGAATCAAAGCAGGGCAGGGGAGCCCCCACCCCCAACCAAGGGAGGCAGCTGATGTGCCTTGAGGTCAGAGATCCCAGAAGAAAGAGCAGGCACCCATCTTTGTTGTTTTCCAGTCTCCTTGAGTGACTCCCACCCAACAGTAGTCAATATTAGACAGATCAATGAGACAGTAAATTAACAAGCATATTCAACTTGAACTCACCTCTAGATCAAGTGGACCTAACAGACATCTACAGAACTCTCCACCCCAAATCAACAGAATATACATTCTTCTCAGTGCCATGTGGCACTTATTCTAAAATCAACGAGTTAGATTTAGTTAGTAATTTAAAATTTACTTCCAATATTTGGAAGTAAAACACCCCTTAGCAAATGCAAAATAACTGAAATCATAACAAACAGTTTCTTAGTCCACACTGTAATCAAATTAGAGCTCAGCATTAAGAAACTCACTCAAAACCACACAATTACATGGAAATTGAACAACTTGCTCCTGAATGACTCCTGGGTAAATGAGGAAATTAAGGCAGAAATCAGGAAATTCTTTGAAACCAATGAGAACAAAGAGACAATGTACCAGAATCTCTGGGACACAGCTAAAGCAATATTAAGAGGGAAATTTATAGCACTAAATGCCCACATCAGAAAGCAGGAAAGATCTAAAATCAACACCCTAACATCACAATTAAAAGAGCTAGAGAAGCAAAAGCAAACTAATCCAAAAGCTAGCAGAAGAAAAGAAATAATTAAGATCAGAGCAGAACTGAAAGAGATAAAGACATGAAAATCCCTTCAAAAACCAATAAATCCAGAAGCTGGTTTTGTGAAAACAATTAACAAAATAGGTAGACCACTAGCTACTCTAACAAAGAATAAAAGAAAGAAGAATCAAATAGACAATAAAAAATGATAAAGTGGATGTCACCACTGACCTCACAGAAACACAAAATACCATCAAAACACCTCTACACAAAAAAACTAGAAAATCTAGAATAAATGAATAAATTCCTGGACACATACACTCACCCAAGACTAAACCAGGAAGAAATCAAATGCCTGAACAGACTAATAACAAGTTCTAAAATTGAGGCAGTAATTAATAGCCTACCAACCAAAAAAGGCCCAGGGCCAAACAGATTCACAACCAAGTTCTACCAGAGGTACAAAAAGGAGCTGGTACCACTCTTTCTGAAACTATTCTAAACAATTGAAAAGGAGGGACTTTTCCCTAACTCATTTTACGAAGCCAGCATCTTCCTGATACCAAAACCTGGCTGAGACACAACAAAAAAAAAAAAACTTCAGGCCAATATCCTTGATGAACA